CCAAGGATGTATGCGTGCGGTACGAGCGTCCATGCGCGCGGCCATGCGGTAACGAGGAGCTAAGCCATCGTTTGGGAAAGGCTGGTTGCCGCTGGCGTCTGCTCCATCAGATGCAAAAAGCAATGACGGTGTACGCAGTGTTGCCGGTGTATGGGTAGGGGACCAGGGCTGGGCCACTGGGGAAAAAACAAAGTGAGGCTGACGACAGAAGAAGAGAATTGAGGAGAGGACACCGTCATTGCGAGAGCGAGAGAGAGGAAGACCGATAGAGAGGGAGGGAGAAGAAAGGCGGGAAGAAAAGAGAGAACAAAATAGATAGGTAGGTAGGTAGTGAAGGAGAGTGTGAGTGAGTGAGTGAGTGAGAGAGAGCCCAAATAGAAATTTTAGAGGCACGCCTACGGATATCCGCCTGAGGCCACACACCCGCAGAGGGGCCAATGGCCATGGGTTGGGCACAATAATGATGATGACGATGATGATGATGATGATGATGATGATGTGCTGAACTGTTCGTCTGTTGGCTTGAGACACGATATGTCGTACGCAACCGTCAATTGCAGTCCGATGCAGGCACCGCCTCGGAGAGAGAGAGAATGCAAGTGTGTGTGGTGTGTGAGTGAGTGTGTGTGTGTGCGCGCGACAAGGGAGGTGGCCAAGTGCGTGCAGGACAATCAATGGTGGTTGCAATAATACCAGGAGCTAGCTGAATCGATCTTTCAGGGCCGCCCAGCTTCCGGTCGAGATGATGACGACCACATCAAGCCCTGCCGATGTATGGTTACGGCGCAGGTGAGGCGACCTGTGAGCAAGCGCAGGACAAGACGAAGCATTACCGCCTACCAGGTATAGCTAAGGCGATCCGATGGAGGCCACCACTGTCAAGTATGCTTCGTAGACTACCAATTAATCCCATCCACGCAGGTGCGAGCGCAAGCAACGACGAGAGAAAAGAAAAGGAATCAAGACGGGGGGAAAGGAGGACTTTTGCTTCTTTTCTCTCTTGGCTCAACAACAAGGTGGAGTGATCATCAATTCACCCATTGCTGGGTGGCATCTAGCATTAGCCGGGATATTTGGTTGTGTGGGGGAAGCCGGCACCTACCACCCACTATCTTGCTCCCGGCGGTACAAGGGAGTAAGTGCACCAACCTCGATTGTACATGTATCTCGCGGGTTTCTGTATACCCTCACTGCATCGTGTTTGGTTCATTTGTCTTTCTCTCTCTTTCAGTGGGTTTGTAGTTGCAGATGCAGTGGGCTCCCCAAGCAACCAAGATACCGAGAGACAGGAACTTGGACGGAGGTGGCCCGGGATGGCATGGACCGGAAGTGATGTGCGATTGTTAGCGCGCAGACTACGGGTCCATCCATGTACCGCACTTTGTAATCCAATTTGGTAGTGGCTTCTTGCTCCTCCATGACCGCAAAGTCTGTAAGTCCATCCCTTCAGCAGCTCAGATTTCCTGCACTGCATCTCGGAGTCAAGCCAAGTAAGCGTGGGGACATGCATGGGGGGAAAACCTCCACCGCCGTCTGGTTAATTAGTCAGGCCCCCCACGAGCCCCCAACCAATTTGCCGATTTCTAAGAAACTCATCGATAGGAGTAGATCCATACGAATGTCATGACATGTATGGAGCACGCGCGACGGTCAATTGGCCTTTTTTTCCTTCTGAGGCGCTCAACCTAAGGTAGGAAGAGAGATAGCAGGGATTGGCAACGCTCGACCGGGGCCGGCTTGGGCTTGTCTAGGGTTCAAGATTGGATCGACATGGAAGTGACTTCCCGGCAGCGGCCGGACTTGTCGTTGACGTGGGTTCACTGAAAGATCACGAGTCGCCATCAGGATTTGGCGCGTATTCTTTTTTTGCTTTTTGGTCTCTCCTCTTGATTGCCCTGCTGGCTCGCCGTCTCAATCCTCATCCGAGCGGGTCAACCGCTGAGGCCAACCGCGATCCCCCTCTAGTCCCGGGTCTTCAAGAACAACTTGAACCGAATTCCGCCCTCCCCGTTTTGCCAGTGGCCACAATGCCGGTACGACATGTGCGTGCGTTGGTGTTTCCATGGCTTGAGTGCGTGCGTGGGACCGCGGGCGTGGGTGCGGCGCCGGGCAAGCTTGTTAGACTGTGATACCCCAGACCCCCCGTCTTTCTCGACGAGTCGACCAAACTGTCGACCACATGCGTATCATTCTGCCTGAGGTTACATCACGACACCCCTACTTCATAGGGAAGCCTCTGTTCAGATGATAGGCCCGATCCTGCAGGTCTGGGAGGGCTGTTGTCGCATCTCACCCTTCTTGTTCTGGAATTGATGAATGATCCAGGCGCACAGTCTACGTCTGCTTGTCTCTCTGCTTCCGTCTCTGCGCCTCCCTCGATTTCTCTCTCCCGCAACCGCCTTGTCTTACCTCGCAACGGGCTCAATGGATGGAACAAGCACCGCCATTCTCGACGGCAACCTACAGCAACGGGGCCGCCCTGAACCTGACGCTGCAGGGCATCAATACATGCAGGTAGGCATCTGAGTTCACATCATCACCAGTGCTGTACGGTATGCTGTATGCGCTGTTCGATGCGAGGCGACAACGAGAATCAGGTACGTTGCGATCTCATACATGAGGTGCCGCACCCGATAGGACTGGGCGCTCTCGTCAGCCCGACGCACACAAACACACACAAACACACGGCCAGCCAACAAGCTCGAGATCAGGAGAGTTGCACCGATCGGGAGCCCGCATCAGCCTGCTTTCGCTTGGGCTCAGATGCAGTCCATCGGATTATCGCCGGGGCTTGGCAGGTATGACTACCTTTCTGTCCTGTCAGTTGCCATTTCGTACTCCGTACCAAGTACGAATACTTGCGAATACTGGCGGGTAAGCAAGCATGGAAGCAAACATCGGGGCAAACCTCCGCCAGATCACCTCTGCAGGGCCGGGGATGCCTGATGAAACCCGAGGCGGCGCAGCAGCTGCCGACGTCCGTTTTTATTCCCCCAAACAAGGCGAATGCCCTGAAAATTCAACCTACAGTAGCATCCTGACCTTCTTCTTTGGCCCCAGCCGGCCCAGAGTCCTTGCTGACCGTTTCTCAGCCCGGTCTCGTGGACTTGCTCTTGCCCAGACCCTTCTTCACCGGTCTGGGGAATCGCGTGGGTCCTCGACGTCACGGCACAGATGATCTGACGCCTCTTAATTCTCTTCTCCCTGCGTGGCGTGGCCTGCGTGGCCTCTCCTTTTGACAACGGCAGTGTTTGACCTGTCGTGACACGAGAGTTGGGCCGCCAAACAGGAGCTCGAGTTTCTGTGGTCATCCGTCCCTCCGTCTCCCCCGACTTGCCGACCTCGCCGAGTCCAGAACAATGCCTTGAACTACCTGCTTCGTAATTAATATTTAGGGTATGCTATGTAACAACACCGATGGGAGTCCACCACCCGCGTCCATGTTTGTGTGAGACGAGAACCAGCCTTTACAATCCCGAAACCTCGTTGCCAAACATCGGGCCCCGAGCCAACAACCAAACATGCCACGACCCGTTGCCCATCCCGGAGATAGCGGACCAGCGGTGACCGAACCTTGCCTCGGCGGAGATGGACTGGTTGGGGGGTCGTCAACATGCCGAGACAGTCTCGCCTGGTTGTCGCTGCTACTGCACCTTGACCGCACTTGTTGAGGACGGAGCTGAAGCTGCTTCTGTGCGGTCGTTATCTAGTCTGGCCTTTGCGCAGCAATCGAGATTTCGATACCGCTCCCGTTACTGGTGCGAGTTGGCAAAGGACAAAGCAATGCCTGATACCGGGCTTGACACTTCTATCTGCGGCAATTCCACCCGAAGCCCGATTACTGCCGCGCCGCCTCCTTTTGATCATCGGTCTACGATATCGATGACCATTGAAGCTGGCATCAGTACCTAGGAGTCGTTTGTCACCACATACGCACGCATCGGCATTTTTCGTCTGACGGTTGTTTGTATGCCCGACCGCGCCCTACAAAATCCCGAAGATGCAAGATGCCGCGTTCCACAAGACGCGGCCCAAAACGCAGCCAGCGGCCCCTGAGGCCCGCATCCACAATCTTCGATCCCAGATCCTGGATCCTTGACTGCAGATCGACCCCATTCTCCAGAGCATCTTGCATTGCCGGCAGGACGGTGCGCAGAAATGGTTGAGTTAAAGTGCAAAGGCCCCGAGTTGATTGCAGCGAGACTGAGCCTTGTGCTGATATTTATAGTAACCGCCTGATAGATCTGAGGAGGACAACTTAGGTGAAACCGAGGACACGGAACAGTTCTGTGGTTGTTTGTTTCGATTGCTGAAGGACTCGTCTCGAGGTCACTACTCGAGACGGCGTAGAGTCGAGTCTCGGTTCCGCACATTAGCCTCCAGTGAGGCATTCGGGTGTTCTCAAACCCGGCAACATGCATGACTGTGGTGTGATGAAACTGACTTGGCTTCCTGTTTGCCTACCACAACCTCAACAGCATTTGAGTGGATTCGGCTATCTTGCGAAAGGTAAAGTAATGTCAAGTATTGATCACGATACGGTTGGGAGTGACGTCAACGCAGAAAAGAAAGACTTCTCGTAAGAGCGAACATACTATCTTTCGCACAATACCAAGAAACTCGGCATTTGAGTTCTAGTGCGAGGGAAAGTTCACGGAAAGCTTTGAGCCAAGCTCACGATGGAGTCGGCATCAAGTAGTTGTATATACGTATAGTATGCACCACCCTGGTAATTAGCCTGCTGATTAAGCCATCTGCGACTGTCTTAAGTGATTATGAGCGTTGGACCTGCTGGTTTAGAGTTGAGCTTGGAGAGGAGTTCTCCTTGGGGACCAACAAGGTGAGAGAACAAACATCCAAATTATCCCGCCGCTCTCCCCCTTCCCTAGAAGACACCCGAAAACTCTACGGGTGGGAATGGATTCCGTCTCTATCTAGAACGCGAGTTGCCACAAAAGAAAGAAGAAGAAACTCGGTGGAAAGGGCAAAAAGAAATGTCTTGCGGTTTATGTGGATCGAACACATGACCTTCAGATCTTCAGTCTGACGCTCTCTGCCAGTGAAGGTTAGTTGTTTGTTCGAAGTGAGGGAAATACTACTGTAACGTACCCCAACTGAGCTAAACCCGCTTTGTTGAAGTCAGGCGAAGAAATTTCAAATTATGTAGCAACAGCACAGGTCAGGCATTGGTAGTTGATAGTTTTGGTTGTCTACGTCGTATCTACAACCAGTCTGGGTAAGATGGTTTCTTTATCAAAAATCGCAGTTACTTTAGCTTTAACTGCTACTTATTAAAAGAGGGTTATCAAGGTACTAATGTATTACCCGTTACGTCTCTCGATGCCGCCATACAAAACTCTATTGACGGAATAGCTTCGACTACCCGTCGTTGACACCTTTGGGGCCGAGAGCAAAAGTTATCTAGTCTACTAAGGTATGTTCGTGACTTATGAGATGCAGATTGTGCCATTCAAAACATACATACACACTGACGCGATACTGGTCTGGTAGTCATTGATCAATGCTGACTCCCTCATATTAGCATAGACATTGCAGTCGAAGAATCCTTAACCCAGCTTTCATGTGATTAGTGCATTGGCATGACGCTAGATCACCGCAGCAAGCAGCCACGATTTCTTGAATAGGTGATTTCTCGGGCCAGTGGCGCCCGAATCAAAATCGGCTGTGGGGTAGACTCCCCTGGCCGTCCAGTTCCTCCATCTTCCTGCCTAATCGTCCTCCTTCAGCAAGTTTGATAGGCAAGATGGCACATATGATGGGGGAAACTAAAATAGATCCTGTTGTTATTAGTCAACACGTAGTCTGCGCTATTTATAGGTCGTTGTTCCCCATCATTCTAGCAAGCACCGAGGAGGTAGTCCTTCATTTTATCCTTCGAATCCATGCCAGCTTTCCCACTCCCGACAATGCAGAATCACCCAAGACGAAAGCAACGCACAGCTTGCGATATATGTAGACGTCGCAAATTTAGTTGTAATATCACATTTAGGGGCCATTTCCTAGACAACGCGACTTTCCCTTCTTCCTCAGACCACATCGCCGGCCCTATGACCACGATCCCGGTCCCCGGGACCCACAGGGCCCCGGCCCCCTGTGCGTCGGCGACGGACTGCCGCCTCCGGCAGCAGCCGTCTTCATCATGTATAAAAGACGGGCTCTAGGCCCGTCCTATAGCTAGAAATCAAGAGCTTTCATCATCATCATTGTGATCCTAT